TTCTATCATCGCTGCTCCCAGGGTTTTATCCTACGAAGAGGCCCTGTTGAGAAACACCAACACCCTGAAGGTAATCTTTCCCTATGAACCTATTATATATGATATAATATGATAAATATAACATTTTCAGGCGTTGGAAATAGCAAAAGCCCGCCTGAGATCACGTTCCACGTACTCTCCCGTAGAGAAACTCCTTCAAAAAGCCCTGCAGAACTACCGAAAAGAACTGGAGAGCCTGCAGGAGGTCAGTGATAAGCCGGAGGATAAGGAAACCCCGGAAGAGGATGAGGACAACCTGTACGATCTGGTCATGCAGAATGTAATTGAGGCCAAGAAGCAGCAGACCGAGCTATAGGATATTTCTCTGGAACTCGAGCCGTTGGCATGGCCATATATAATGTAGATGTATATATTGTTCACAAGTGCGACATTGTCAAGCTGAATAAACACGGTCCAAATGTACACATTTGCTGGAAATTCAATTGAGAATGGGAATGGGGTGTATGCTCACTTTCTGTTCCCACTTCAAACAATGATCAAAATGGAGCAAACACTGGATGACGAAATGGAACCGAAACGAGCCACCTTGTTGCCATCCCAATCATCTAAGTGCCCGATCGACTCTGCGGCATGTTCTCACCCTCGACGTTATCACTGTAGGTGAAAATATATCTGCCAAGGCGAGAAGATATCTCCTAGAGTCGCAGGCAACATCATAGCAAACACATTTACCTAATTAGTTGGCCATATAACCACTTGGACATCCCCAAATCGGTCCAGAACCAGAGCAAACCCAAGGAAGCCCTGGCAATCAACTTTAGTAATAAATCAATTAATGACACTCCGTCTCGTGCAAACTTCAAAGAAAATTATGGCTTTTCTCGGCATGTTCACTGTCTTCTGATAAGGCGGAGGCGATAAGGAAGGTGGGGCGAAACGGACAGGGACACTGGAGCAGACCGCTCCAGCAAATAGAGTCGAAGTTGTCACTTGTCAGAGGCACACTCTTAAGTACAGTTGGGGTCAAAATAGTAACACCGAAGTGGGGATTGTAGTATATTTGTTAAGAGTAATATGCAGGAAACTCCGGCATTGTACTTCAATTACAAATTTAAAAAAAAATGTATTTCCAATTTTATTTGAAATTACTAGTAATAACTTAAGGTCTTGTCAATTATACCTGAAAAAATACAGTATCTGAACTTTTCTTGAACTACTCCTCAAGTTATACAATCTGTAGTATTATTGTCAGTATTTCCTAAAACTCTGTTGTAAAAAGTTGAAGGCTTTGCTATTGATGTTAATGATATAAGGCTTTATCAGAAGTTCCTAAAATATTGTTGGAAATAGTTGAAATCTTTGCGATCGATATAACTGATACAAGGCACACTTATTTTTTCAGTATTAGGATAGAAGTCTTAAAATTAACTACATATCATTTAAAGTTTTTGATACCCTAGTAATATTAGATGAAAGATCAAGGTCCAATGCCCCGAACAATCAAAATTACAAAAAAGAAAAAACCCTATAGGAATGCCTATAGCTGTGAGGTGGTTTTAATGGATGCGCCTGGCGGGGTCGAAGGTAAAGGGAGCTGTCGGGAACCCTCACCTGTTCGCACTACCTGTACTGATAACGCCAGCCACGACAGAATCTATTGAGACAAATTGTGGGGCGACATTTCCATTTCCACTGGCATTTCCATTTCCATTTCGTTTTCTTTTCAGCTTTTCAGCTACGTTGACAGTCGCGTTTAATGGCCAATACAAAGGCAGCACGCAGCACGCTCAGGTGTGTGTGCTATGCTATCTACAAAATATCACCCACTTTCTGCTCCAGTTCAATATTTCATATTTATTTGTGTTTTCTGCTGTTGCCCCTGCCTTTTTCGGCTCTCCCTCTCCCACTCTCTATCGCTCCTTCGCACTCGCACAGGTGTACAGGTGAGATATGGGTAGCGATCGACGATACTATACTACTTCGTGGGCCCCGATTCTTCATCGGGAGCTGGCGTTTTAAACTTCACCGTCAAATCCGACGTTTCAGTTACGTTCCGAAACGCGACAAGTGCATATAGTGCCGCCACCGATCCGTTTCGAACCGATCCGTTCCTGTCTGGAGAAAGATATGGTGTATAAGTGTATATGGTGCCTACGTGTAACTACTCCTTCACAAAATCATCAGAGTCCCGGGGCAGCGAATTACTTGGGCCAAGGGAATGCAAACTGTGATCGCTAGAAGTTTGTTCGTTTGGCTTAAGTTATTTTCATGTCCGATTAAAACGCCACGTGGTGGAGATCGTATCGCTTCTATATTCGTGTAGTATATCTCTTTAGAACACCCCTAACTCAAGGAAGTTAAGTTTTGGCCTGGAACTAAAGCGGTTATCAATGAATATCCGAAGTGAACTAATGAGTTGGCCACGCTTGGAGATCCTACATGAGTACGTCATCAGGTGAGGATCGGCGATAAGCGCTTCTCGGAATCCCTATCAATCTTTTACTGATCATTGGCGATGATAAAACCCACTAGTGATACCAAAGAGCGACGTGATTCGCTACGCCCCCGAAAAGTAGACGCCACCTTAAGTGGTGAAGCCGGTTGATTAACAATCGCAGCCATATTCGGCTTCCGTTTGGGCTTCGGATTCCGATTCGGATTCTGATTCGGTTCGGGGTTCGGGTTGGAGTCGTTTCCACTTGGTGCGCTGGCATGGACTCTCGGGGGCCGTAAAACCCATTATCACTATATTGGTTGTACGATTTGCGGATCCGTCGCCAGACCCAACCGTAAAATCTGATTTCTGTAGACGTGTCGTCGCTCGCCCCAAACCGATTCGATACGGCTAGGGAAAATGACTTGGGAACGAGATAAGAATTCTGGAGAGGCACGGAGAGAAAAATGAATAAGATACATTGGTCAATTTGTAAGTTTTTTTTTTATCATCTTGAAGCAGATACCTGGTTATTAATAAGAAAGGTTAAAATATTATTTAGTTTTAAAAGGACATGGTTGTATGTCAAAATACCAAAGTAGTATGATAGTTACAGATCATTATGGATACAATTTCAAACATCTATCCTCTCAAATTTAAGTTCGTATTTCGTTGACCTCCGAGTTATTATCTATAAATATATATTTTTTCTGTGCGGTGTGGTAAAAAAGGGTTTCGAGGGGGACAAACGTGGCAATCTATAAGGTAAAAAGCTAACTGAAACCGAAACTGATAATTGTGCAACGTACACAAGCCTTGCTCGCATTGCTCCACTTGCTTTCGGGTTATCAGTTGGAGTGACAAGCGGAAATTAAAGTTGAAATCGACACGATTACTTCATTAGTTCTGTTTGGAGAACGCTGAACAAGTGGGCGTGTGTCATGGGGCGGGGCCAGGTAGGAGGTCAGAGGTCAGGCAGGAGTTGACAAGGTCGCCGCGGATGTTTATATTCGACTGTCGTATTGCCGATTGATAGATTGGATTGTCATTAGCCATAACTAACCAATTAGCGATTTGCCATTCGTAGCAGGCAAAGCCAGGCACATCTTTGGGTGGTTGGGGTGGGCTAGGTGGGTCAGGAGGTGCCTCGAGGGGCAGGTGCTCCAAGGTGAAACGCAATCAGAAATAAGTGAGCCCAGCCAAGTCGAGTTAGGCTGAAGACTTGGACCCAATTCGATCAGGTGCAAGCGACAGAAACAGCGAAGGATACAAGACAAACAGAGGCCACGTTTTCGAAGGGGGTGTACAGTAATGCCTCTAATGACTAAATACTTTCAGCAAAAACCTCCAAAGGAGTTGACTGACACAGTTTTAGTCAAGTTTAAAGTTTTTTTTCGAGATTGCAATTTTCAGTACCAATTTAACACTTAACAATTCTACTTGTTTTTTCACATATCTTCCAAGAGCTGACCTCTTTAGGCACCTTCCACTGTTCTAGGATGAGTGGAGCCCTGAGGAGATGTCATTGGTTTGGACGTGGACGAAAGCGAAAGGTGTAGACGCAGACAGAGACGGAGACAGAACTTCAGCGAATATGCCAAGGTACGTCAAAAGAAATGAATTACCCGGACTGGAATCTCGGGGAAGGAGGGGCGGGACTGGAAAAGTGCTCCAGGCCGAGGAGAGACCACGGTTCAGCCCCCAAGTCGCACTTTACTGCAAATGCAAAAAGTTTAGACAGGGAATCAATTGTTGTTACCTTGTTTTATTTCGCCCAAGACACGCAACAACAATGGAACCGTCAAAAGGGAGAGGTTAAGATGGAGAACACGGCGAGAAGAAAAAAGCAGGGACTTAGATGTAATTCCTTGACTCGACGAGGATTATAAAAACGTTATATTGAGAGCATGTTACATATAGAAACGGTATTAAGAAGCTATCTATAAGACAAAGGTAACATCATCCGTCTGGATATCAAACTATTATGTTTCGATTTCCCTGGTTTTATTGCCAGTAGTTTTCGTAGTTACAAGGGCAATAAAATTTATGAATGAAAATGAAATTCTTGATAAGCATTGCTTTGAGTTAGGATCATAAATATTTTATCTTCAATACTGCTTTCAATTACCTTACCTGCCGAAAAGTATGGATTGATATCTGGTGTTATCTGAAATATAAACCATTCTATCTTTTTCACTCTCTTAAATCGATTTCTATCCAGTTTTGCTCAGTGCAGCGAGTAACTAGCAACAAATGGGCAGTCGGCAGTTGGGGGCGTGACAGCAACCGTGAAAAGAACTCGAGGATGACAGTTATGGGTTACAAAGGCAAGGATTGAATCAAATAAATAAACGCGCAAGGTTCTCGTCATGAGCGCTGGGTCTCACTGGGTCGGATATATTCGGGGGTTGCCTGGGGATTTATATGGGATTCGATTGAACGGGTTGAGCTTCGGCTGGCGGATGGGATTGGGGGTAACCTTACCACGTCCACGTCCATGTCAAGTTTGCATGCGGCTGCAGGTAATTCCTCATTTCACCCGCCTTTACATAATCACAACAAATGAACGAGGAAAGGCGACGGATGGCGAATCTATTAGCATAAGGGCGCATAAAACGGCGCCGTAGGATCCGGCTGCATTCCACTAAGGATACGGATTCGTCGAGTCAGTTGCAGTGGAACCGTGGAGCCGCGATGAACGTGTGGAAAGCAAAGGTCCTAACGGAAGTTCCCTTCGGGCATGTCCTCATCGTCAGTGGACGCGTCAAGCCCCATCCGAATAAGTAATGCATTTTCGTTTTGGATACTCAGAACTCTAAGAACTAAAACGTCAAGTTTAAAATGTTGATAGGAGTCTAATTTTAACAGTTTTCTTAATTACTTCGAATGTTAAACAAGCTAATCTTATTGTCGAACCGCTTAACAATTTCTATTTAATATGGAAATATACATATATCACATTGATAAACCAATACGGTTTTATAAATAACCGATTGTTGACAAACCAATCAAATTCTAATGCAAACATAAGTGGTTAGCGATAAAATAATAAAATTTCAATGGGAGTATAAACCAATAAATCGAATAAATAATCGCGAGCAAACTTCTGCTGAAAAACGCAGATTCGCAATTACTTATTTGTTATTTGTTTCCTAAATCCTAATTCTAAATAGAGTTTCAATTTTAGTTGAGCTTTTTGAAGATGGTGCAGACTTGATTTGTATTATACGGCTGTATATTGACAAGTTGTAGTATAAAACATGGTTTGGTTTTCCAAATCCAAAAAATAATAAAACCACTTAAACTTTTCGATCGCTAACGAGTTCAAATGAAACTGTTCTATAAGAAGTGGTTATAAAACTACTAAATAATCAATTGAAAAAGACCTTAAAAAATACATTTTGAGTACCGAGTATATAGTCCATGAAGGACATCGCATTTATAATATTTTGTACTAAGACAAGCCTATCGATTTACGAACAGAATTTCCCTGGACCTCACGGACAATGTGAACGCGCAGAATGAGAGTGAAACGGTGTTCCTGAAGATCGAGGCCAACTTCCGCGAGGGCCAGATCATTCGCAGCATGTTCCAGCCGGGAGAGGGATGGCAGCAGGAGGAGATATCGAAGAACTGGAAGTGCGATGGCCCGAAGAATCCACTGCAGCCGGGGCAGAGCTTCACCTTCCGGGTGGCAGTACTTCAGCGATGCTTCGAGATCTACGTAAATGATCAGTTGTACGGATCCTTTGAGTTCGTCAAGTTCCCCAAGCAAATCAACTATGTGCGGGCCTACGGGGATTTCGAGAAGATCACCCAGTTTCATCACCGCATGCTCTTTCCGCTCGTCTTCCCGAGAACCCTCATGTGTCCGGATAAGGTGGCCTTCCAGAGCGACGTGCCCAGACGATATGAAACCGGGACCGTGGTGGCCATGGAGTGCATCGCTAAGGGGCCTCCGACCACGGAGTTCTCCATCTGTTTCCAGTGCAACGACACCGGGAGGACTGTGCTCCGCTTCCATGTGAACTTTGATCGCACAACGGTTTCACGTAGTTACCAGCGGGAAGATAACAGGTAGAATAATGTCAGGGGTTCCCCTTCTATATAATTTAAAAAAAAAACATTTCCCAATGTCATGTTAGCTTTTGTCGTTGTGTTAAATTGCTTTTTCCCAAAAATGTAGTTTCCCAATAGAGGGTTAAGTTTTATCTTAGGTTCAATAGTTAAAACAAAAAGTTCACCTTATTCTTTTCAAGTTAGTAATTTCTCACATAATAATGTGAGACCCTACTTAAAGACCCGGTATAGATTTGTCGTTCGTAAAATGTACATCACATTATGAAAACGCTCAATGTTACATTCTCTGACAATGACCAAACTAGAAGCTTAACCTAACATTGAGAAATCGACCATAAATAACTTCCTTTTATCAAATTCCCCATTCCTTTTCTCAGCTTTGCCATAAGTGACGAGGAGACCGAGGGGGAATTTCCATTCGTGCGAGGAAAACTCTTCAAGATCGCCTTTGGACTGGGGGATCGTGCCTTCCTGATCGCCGTGAACGGGCAGTACTTTACCTACTATAACTTCCCCGGACGTCCCTTCTCCATCTCCACCCTAAAGTGTTTCACCAACGAAGTGGGCGATTTCGCCGTGAGGAGCATGGAATACCATTCCGATTCCCCGCTTCTGGCCCGCGTGGAGAAGCTGTCCATTATCTAGTCGGAAGGGCTACCTGGGCTCTTCCAAGATCTATTCGAATTTTCGTAGAATGCTCTTTGTTCAATCGTTGGCTTTGATCACTACAGCACCAGTTAACTTCTTATTGTGAGCATCCAAATAAAGCAAAGCAGCTCGTCCAATCTAAGTTTATAGGCTTATTATAACCTCTGTTAATATCAGTATCCGTGCCCCCCAGAAATATTCCTTAGATATCCCTTCACAGCCATTGGCCTCTGGAAACATATGTCATATGTTACAATCGATCACAATCAAGGGATCCTTTGGATATAATTTTATTAAAACAAATTATTGCCGTCGCCTCCCCTTCTTCTTCGTCTAGATCAGCATCAGCTTAAGCATCCGCATCCTCATCCGCATCAGCAGGAGCCACATGCTGCTCCACCGCTCCCACGTGGAGCTCCACTTAGGTTAGTCTTAAGGTTAGTTCTAGTTTGCACTCTCCTGCGAGCGAGTGCAAAGTATCGGAGCTAATCCGATTGGTTAGTGACCAGGATCAGGATTAGCATCCTAGACGGGACTGCTGGTGTCTGTCTCTCTCTAACGCTAGATTCTCACTACGGATTATGTGTGTATGTGTATATGGTGATCTATATGGATCCTAGAAGTAGCGGAACTCGCCCTTCTTGCCCAGATGCTTGCTGCGCATCATGTCGGTGGGGTCCGGTGATCGCTGCTCCAGGCCGGGATTGTCCTGGGTGAAAGAAAATCAATTAGTATGCCTATCGAGGTGAGGAGTTCCAAGGATACCCACCCCTGATCTTGATTTGCTGGCCGAGATTGGAGGACCCGCCGGCGCCTGCTGCTGCCCGTAGAACTGGGCGCCATCTCCATCGCCGAAATTAAAGGGGGCGACGATCGTGTGGGGCACATGGGCCACCTGGCCACGCATGTTGCGCGCCTTCCACCACTTTCGGGTGTCGTCAAGGATCTGGAAGATTTAATAAAGGGTTACTAGATGGAACCAACTTTATCCAGTTTATAGACCCACCTCCAAGTACTCCCCTCGCATTACGCTGAGCTCCTTATCATTGTTGGCGGTGCGTGGATAGGTGACCAGCACTATCTTCGCTCCCGTCGCCTGCAGATCCTCCAGCCAGGACTCGAGCATCTGGTCGTCGCTGACATTCGGTGGACCCCTTCCGCCTCCGCCACCCAACTCAGAGGACGGCCCTGGACCAGCTCCTCCTCCGACCCCATAGCCATTGCCTCCTCGAGATTCTCTCGTATGCAGATTCTGCAGACCAGCTGTGATGGCGCTGAGGGTGGGTCCTGGTCCTCCTGGTCCATGACCATGTCCATGCCCCGCTGCTCCGCCGCCCCTTCCCTCAATTGAGTCGAAGGAGAGCTCGCTGCGGGTGTTAAAGTCGGAGGCGCTGATGGCTCCCGCCCGATCTCTATCGCGCTCCCTCTCCCGCTCCCTCAGGCCAACATCATTGCCATGGTGGATGGTGTACTTCTCGATGCCCATGGCCATGTTCATCCCGTTCCCCGAGTCGTAGTCGTCGTATCCTCCGCCTCCTCCTCCGCCTCGACCATTTAGACCAGATCCCGCCTGGACCTCGAGCCTCCGCTTGCTCACATGAGCGGGTGGGGAGTTTGGTGGCGGTTCCAGCTCGTCGTTGATCAAGTAGTCCGGTGACCAGCCGTCGAGGAAAACGGGATGGTAGGATCCCACATCGTCCTTCCACTGATCCCGCGGTATAACCCAAGCATCGCCCAAGGAGCGCCACAGCTCCGTCTCCTTGCTGGTCACACAGTTGATGAGCAGGTTGATGGCCTCCCTGGTGAGCAGGGGATTCACCACGCGCGCCGGCAGCTGCGACTCGTAGTACGTGTCGCTGGAGGCCTCCACAATCAGGGCGAGCGGCGTGAAGAGGAAGTGCACCAGCTCGGGGGCGTTGGGATCGTGGATGTGCGCCTTCAGCTTGGCCAGCAGGTTGAACGACAGCTTGAACTTGGCGAAGATGTCCACGAACTCCTTCTCGTGCGGCGGCCGTGTCCGTAGGGTGAGCAGTCCCTCGCCCGGATCCCTCTTCTTGGACTTCCGGTTGCGGCGACGCCGCTCTAGTTCCCGGGAAGCGGCAGCCGCGTGCTGGAGTCGGGCTATGAACTTCTCAATGTCATCGAAGCAGTGATTCAGCACGGCCACATCCCGCTCGTACTTTTCGCTGGACGTGGAGCTGGTCTCGTCGCGCTCCGCTGCTCCACCGCCTCCAATCCCCCCGTGCTCCGAGTCCGTCTCCCCGCTGATGTGGGCCACATCCACATCGCCTGGGACACCAACGCCGGCCCTCATACCGTACTGCTCCATGCTGCTCCTTTGGTGCATGTGGTGGTGGCTCTCGTTTCGCTCACGGTCTCGATCCCGATCCCGCTCCCGCTCCCGCTCGCGCTCCACCCGCTGCTCCCTGTGCTGCTGGTGCAGCTCCACTCGGCTGTGCGAGGAGGACGAGGACGTCTTGCTCATCATCATGGCCATGCTGGAGGCGCCGCCTCCGCCTCCCGACTGTGTGGGCGTGGCACCGCGCTGCTGCGTGATCATCTTGCCGCTCCGCAGCTGCTTCAAGTCCTCAACCAGGTGAACGGCGGACACGCTTTGTGACTGTAGAGGATAGTCAAAGGATCAGAATATATGATTCGAGTTTAATCTTAAGTTAACTTGATATAAATTAATAAATAAAGCGTAAGGAAAATCCAAGGATAAAAATATATATACTGGTTAAATCTCACTTATTTTGAAATCTAATTCTGACAAAAACTTTTTACTCATGTGTATGATATTTTCCTTATAAGTATACCTTGAGCGACATTCTCACAAAGCTTTAATCATCAAATTTTAATTTACTGTGATTAAGTGCATGTCACCAGTATTTAACTGTGTCTTGATTAAATATATGACAACCCAGCAGTGACAATCTTAAGTAAAGTTTGCTTTGGTGTATAAAAATATCATCAATGTTTAACTGAGATTAATCGTTTTGCAAAGAAGCTTCCGTATAATGATGATACATTTAAGTAAAATGAGGTATTTGAAATTGGAACTTGAGAATTCACATAATCTGTTCAGAAAGCTTTAGGTAAGAATAGATTGGTTTCCAAAAACCATTAAACTTCCTATTATTATTCCTTTTATCATTATTATAGTTTCATCGTCCTCACCTGGAATATGTGCATCTCGGAGCGGGAACCTCCGCCTCCGGACACGATGAAGACCAGAATGTTGTTGTACAGCTCCATGGCGTCATTGGAGGTGAAGGCGGTGGGTTCCTGGACCAATGAAGCGGGGAATCTTTCGATTATGTTCTGAAAGATAAAAAGTAAAAGGTTATTATAAACTACTAATAGATTGTTAAGGAGATCCCCCGACCTACCCCCGTTTCGTAGTCCATGATGAGCACCCACTGGTAGTCCAGGCAGAGCTGCATCTTCTGCGACCAAATACCTGTGGTCTTCTCCAGCTGCAAAAGGCGCCGCATACCGTCAGCCGGATAAACAATGCCCGACTCCTTGTTCACCGTGAAGGTGGCCAGGTGTTCCAGCAGGTAGGTGGGCTTGTCATGCAAGTCGCTTTCCAGCCGCTCCCGCTCCTCGCCGCCTCCACTGCGATCGTCTCCGGAGTAGTCTCCACCTCCGCCGCCTCCATGGGCACCGCCTCCTCTTAAACTTCCGCTACTATTTCCGGCACTCCCGCCTCCATTTGAGTGGTGGTTCACCATGGTGTCTTCCAATCCCCGATCAGGCTTCGTTCGACGCCTGAAACTCCGTCTGAAATTGAGAAATTTAAATGCTTGGGGTTAACAGTCATTAAAGGCAATATTAAAAATAATGTTATTGCTAGACTTAAATATTTCAAATATTTTAATAACAAAACCATGGGATCCAATGGAATCAGTGTAAATTACCGTTTAAACGATGACGCAAGGTGTTTTAACATCAAGAAAATATTTATATGGTAAGCAGTTTAAGATACCTTTTCTACACCTTCGAATCTAATTATCAACATAAATATAAACACTATTAATTTTATTTAAGTGTGATACCCATACCGTTAGGAACTCTATATTTTATAATACTCTTATGTCATTTTTTTACAAAAGCAGATAATTTTATTTAGTTTGTTAGAACTTCCTAAAAACATGTTTAACTTGAATAGAACACAATAGTATAGAATTTTCATAATATGGCAAATTATCGGTATGCATATGCGGACGGCCAAAAAGAGTCTCTCATCAGACGTGGCTTTCAGGGGTGTGGTAGCCCATAGAAGTCTTCGTTCCCAATTTGGTTCCTCAAGATCTTGAAGAAGGTGATTGCTGGATAAATAATGTATCTAACAATGTGTGTTAAATAATTATTTTGCATTTGTTTCGTGTAGCTGAGATTTAGTTAGTCCCTCTGCATCTCAAGACCCCCTGAAGCCCCAAAATCCCTCTAAGCCCCTTCGGATATTGCGCAGCCAATCGTCTCTGACTCAGACCGCATTCCACACAGCCACTAACGCTAACACACATACACTCCGAAACGATCCGCACATGGCCGCAATTATTCTCAAACTTTAACATTTCGTTGTTGGCTTAGATCAGCATTGGAATTCAAAAATCGCGACTTCCCCGGGTTCTCCTCCTAACTGATTGTCTCCACTTAGACTGCACAGAAAACAAAACTGGGATAGTTTCCAAGGCCTAGTGGGAAATATATCTCTGAAGACCAAAATATTGGCAATAAATAATAATATTTGATATGGTTTAGCCTTTAAAGTTGTTTTTTAAACACATGATAACAAATTAGTTTATTCCACTTTAAATGTATTTTAATGAACATAGTGACAAAGAAAGGATAAGAACTTTGAAGTTAAATGTTGTCTGAAATTTATGATAATAATATTTTTAATTTTTAATAATTTAGTAGAAGTTGTTTCTTTGTAACTTCAGGCCAGAAAAGATTTATATTCTTAAGTCAAAAATCCGTCTAGAAGTTTTCTAATTTTTTTCTGTGCAGTAAATGAACACACCTGCAAAAAGCACATACACGTGAAACTGAGATTTGCAAACACACTTTTACTCTCTCCTTCTCTTTCTAACAGAAACACCAGACACTATATCTCAACCGCTCCCTCGACTCAAATGACAGCAACAACTTTTCCGCTGTTTTAGGCTGGGCTCAGAAGCCGACTGCGCAGTCGGCGCTGGCAGCGCTGTCGCATACCAATCTACACCAAAAAAAATTACAAAGACCAATTCGATATTTCAAAAAATCGTTCTTTTTAATGAGTTATTTAAGGAACCTAAGGCATTAGTTTTCAACTTTTTATATCTATGTATTTACTTTTATAACTATTTACTATGAAGTCACACTTATTATTTTTTTGGTTAATTGTATTTAGTTTAAACACAAATTCTATTATTATTATAATATCAATTTAATATCCAATTTTTTCACTGTGTACCCATCTAGCAGGGGTGCAGGGTCATCGGGCAAAGGGAGGGGGTTTTATGTACTTGCAACAGGTGAAAGAGAAATTCGTGGAGGGGGTCAGCCAGAGTGCACTATCTCCACACGATCTGGCCCAAAATGAAATCGCAGTAAACAAGCAAGACGAAATGCAAATAAAAAAAGAAAACACTGACCCACTACACCCCTGGAAATGTTTATTGTTTTTGTTATGTTGCGCCGCTGTGTTATATTTATCGTGTTTTATTTTGGCTACAAGCCCCAAATTGCATCACACTTGTGGAATTTGACAGATTTGTGTTTTCGCTCTTTATTTTACAGCAGCTTAGAGGCCAGTGACGAAACGCGATAAACATTATCCCACTTGGGCAACGGCGAAATTGTAGGGCTTGCATAAAGCCAGTTTTGGATGAAGTACCCAGCCTTGGGTGATTAGATAAGCGAAATTAAATTGGAAAGCTATGATTTTAAATAGGAATATTAAGTATGCTACCTTAAAATGACAAGGCCGAGCTTCAGAAATTAAAATCGATCAATTGTATACAGAAGACTAGATTTTAAAAACATTTTACTCCAAACTGAGCATAAAACATTACTCATACGCACGGTTGCCTATGATCTAGGTTGCGTGGAGTTTGAGTTTAAACATTAACTTATTTGGTATCTCTACCTAAGTTATATTTATTCAAATGAAATTAGTAAGTTAACCAGATTAGAAATAGAAGAACTACTTGTTTGCATACGTGTCGTATGAGAGATTTTGAGGTTTGCCTAAATATTCAAAAAAAATTGCTAGTATATGAATAAACTTTTCCTAAATTTAAGGGCGAGATAAATTGTATTTTCTAATACAATTCCTTATCAGGGAAAATATAAAAATATTGATGGTTTTCTTTAAAACCCTAGGGGTCCACACCATAAACATCCAAGTGTACCCTAAAAAAAATGGTATTTTATGTTTTACACTACTTCTCTTGAGGTGAAGATAATTAATTGGACCCTGATAAGCATGAGATGGGTATTAATGTCTCAAATAATTCAGACAGCTGGATTTAGATAAAAAATGCGGCGGGCGGTTCATTTGCTTTTTATCTCGCATACTTTTCGGTTTACGAAGCAATTGGCAAAACAACAAATAACAATAGTTGTTTTTGCTGTTCTTTGGGTGGAAGCCGCTTGTGGGGCGGGGGAGCGAGGGAGGGGGATGGCGAGACATCGACACCCCGATCTACACTGTTGCCGTCCCCCTCGCGCGCATGCGCGGCAGGTAAACTGACGTCTTTTGCTCTGTCTGTGTTGGTGTGTGTGCGGCTTGAAAAGGTATTTGTCCCCGTGTCTACCTCCCTCTCCCCGCCACCCACCCTCTCCACTCCCCTCGCCTGTTGCTGCAACTTTAGTTTTTGACCGACCGCATTTTTTAAGCTTTCTTTTCCACCTGTTTTCCGTTTTCCTCTCTCACTTTGCACTGTTGATATTTCACGAGTCTCTCGCACACACACTCATTCGCCTCTAAGCCGCACTCACACAGGTGAGGCTTCACAGTAATGTGCGTGCGTGGATACACAGGGCTCACTCGAAAGAGTGAACTTATATAAAAGAAATATTTTATTTTTATGAAGTATGAGTTCTTATGAGTTCTCCAAAATTCGATGGGTGTTAATGGATCAATATCAATAAAAACCAATGATAAATATTTTATGCTTTTGTTTCATAGTTACTTTACCACCAATTTTTTAGAGAATGGTAGAGCCCCTTTGTCACAACTTTCCTTTTGTACTTGGTATAACTAAATTCCAAACTTTACATCATTTGGAATGGAATTTATTAAGATTTTCACCGCTTATATTCGAAGTTAAACATTCATAAGTTCACACCTCGAGTGTTCACTATTTACAGGCAGCACTGTATGTACAAAAGTGGGAGCGGCGGCAGGTTTCGTATTGATTTTCAATGCTTTTGTTCAATTCATTCACTAATTCACAGACACAGGCCCAATTCGCTATGTACACTATTCTAATTGACCGCATTTTCCGGTGATATGTGTGATATATTCGAATCTACTCCCTTTACACACCACGCACACACACTCACTGCCCAGGTATCGATATCTCGTTAGCATTTCGATATCATCCTCTCACCTGGCACATTCTTTTTCTAATTAGCACGAATCCGAATCTCTGTCACGTTCGCTTGGCATTTTAACTGGTTTTGGCGTTTATATTTGGTTTTTGGTTTTAGTTTTTAGTCGTTACGACTGCGATCACTGGAGCATTGTTTTAATTTTAATTTCAAACATTAAAAGTAACTGTAGTTCAGCACTTAATCCGCTCTTCCTCTTCCTCCTCCTTTTTACCTGTCTTCGCCGTTCGTTCCGTCCTTTTCTAACCGTCGCCTTTGGTGTAATGCTTTCTCGCTCCTCTTCGATTTTTATTTTTAAGACGGCTTTCTTTTGCTCCGTTCTTTTTGATTCTCACAAACCGTTTTTCTTTTTTTTTGTTGGTGTCGCTTGTGGAAAATATACGTACAAATAACAATAACCCCGCAACTTCGTTGTGTTGCTGTGGCTTTTCAGTCACCTTTTTGTGGTTGTTGTTTTTGTCAAACGCACGCGAGCGTCATCCGCTTTCTAGCCGCGTTTAGTACATGTCAGTACGGTACCTGGAATCGTACTAACTTGGCTCACTCGGCTATAAGGCCTTTCGGTTGTTTGTGTATTTTTTCAAGCCCACTTGTTGAGAGAGTGAGAGCGGGAGAGAGATCTCTCTTTACAGTTCGGGACAAAATAGTAGCAACTATTCCTGTTATTATTAACAAACTTAAATGAAAAGGATAAGCTGAACTAATGTGATATTATGGTCCTTATAATTTCCCCGCAATTTAAAATATTTTTGTAGCTTACCAAAAAAAGCGATTCTATTAGCTTAATTTTTTTTTAATTCTAACATATTCATATTGAGAACGATCAGATTTTAAAACCGTTTTTTAAAAATTTAATTGAAATTGAATTTTTAAAAACAAAAGGTAAGACTTCAATAACGCAAAACTCATATTAAACACAAATTAAATATGAAAAATCAACAACAATTTTTACCAAGTCCCTTTAAAAATGAAAATAGTTTTTCTGAGATAAGTCTCGAAATTATGCGGTGGAACAAAGGAAAACAAAAATACTTTAAAAATATGACTATTATGACTTATTCCTACCAAACTTTTTCAAAAAAATTGTTAAAACAAACTATTGCAGTCCATTATAAACATTGTCTTCGATTTCAATTTCTATTTCCTTGCTCACATAATCGGTTTTATTGAATAATCCTATGGCTAATTAAAACTATGAAAACTATCAGCTCCTCGCCTTCTTGTTGGCCTTGATCAGCTTGGCCTTGAGGGCCTTCACGTCCACCTTGCTCGTGGAGGAGGCATCCTCCTTCTTCCGATTCGAAGATGCAGACTCCTCCGTGGGCGGCACAAAGTCCTTGTTGCGGCGCTCGCCCTGGCGCTTGGCCGCCTCCTTCTGCTTTTCGGTGCGCTCCTGGTTCCGCTTGGCCTGCTTCTGCTCCTGGTTGAGGAAGTACTCTCCGCTGGCCAACTGCTTGTCCACCTTGCTCTCCGGCTGGCTGGGCGGGAATGGAGTGTACTCCTTCTTCTGCTTCTTCACCTTCGGCTGCTTGCGTTTGCTGATGTTCTTGTTCTTGAACTTCGGCAGGAACCTAGACCAATCCTCGTTGGCCAGGCGGGGATCCTTCATCAGCTCGCGCTTGATCATCAGGGCCTTGATGTTGTATATGGGATGCACATTGTTCATTGTTTCCAGGACAATATCCCGCACCTGCTGGAGGCCCTTGTATGGACCCAAGGCGGAGACGGTGTTTCCTTGTACCAGAACATAGCAGTCGGTAAGCAGTTCGATGGACTTCAGGGTGGCTCCGTTGGGCCCTATCAAACGCTGGCGCCGCTTCACGAACTTCTCCTTCTTGTGGACTAGATTGCCGATTTTGATGATGTCGCACCCAATGTCATCCTGCAGGACCCGCTTGGCCTGCTCAAAGGGCACACTCCTGGCCATCAGCTTGATCATGTCCCTCGCCTTGATAATGATGTAGGGGTCCCAGGTCTTACGACTGGTCTTCACCACCATGCTGCCCTCCATCAGGTCCAGTTCCGCCTTTAGGTGGTGCTCCTCCAGGCACTGCTCCACCAGGGGCCAGACCTCCTTGAGATATCGCTCCCGGTATTTGGGGAACAGCGTGGCGAAGGAGCTCTCTTCCACCATGCCGTGCGGGTTGTCCTCCTGCTTGAAAGCCGGGATCTTCATGGCCCACGCATTGTCCACCGGCTCCGTGCTAACTTTAGTGTCTTCCGCTTCGCTGTCGCTCATTATTTCGGTTTTTTGGATAAAAACTGCACAGGTCGAAATACTTGCACGCTTGTTTTGGCAGAGCTGCCAGATCGACGGGAAATGGAGTGCGACCCAATCACAGTTGCTGGTATATCAGTATTTTTCAGGTTTAGTATTTATCATACCCTGTAATCAGTATTTTCAGCGCCCTAAAAAATTATGATAATTTGAATCTTTTACTTCTTTCTTATACACATTCTTACTTTATGCCATCCCAATAGATAAAATGTACCTATTAAGTTTATATTCAATTGTTTAAGGAATACCCTAAATATAATTACATTTTTAAAGCCTATAGCCTAATACTCCGATCGGCTAACAGATTTATTTTTACACTGAGCTATATATGTACATATCTTTCTAAAATATACAAGGTTAAGCACTTAGGTCAGCGTCTTGCTTCAGCTGGGAACGAATTGTTTCTATAACCGCAAACATAGGACCATGGCCGGGGACAATGAAGTCGCATAGATGGGCAATTTTACAGCGCTCCTGGCGCTGGAGCTTTACACTCTCGCTTCCCGCATCTATCCAAATGCTCTCATCGTCTATGTCCTCGCGTCGCTCGAAGAGATCTCCGGTGATTCCGACCCGTCCTCCCAGCTGGGAGTTGTCAACAATCACTGAAACGCAGCTGTGGGTGTGTCCTGGCGTTCGCCTAACAACCACCTCGGCATTCGTGTCTAGCGTTAGTTCCGCGTCCTGTTTCTCACTTGGGAAGATATCCAAGTAGAGGTCGCGATGCGAGGCACACGCGCCAACCAAATGCATCCGTGCCTTCTGGAACAGGTAGTTGCATCCAATGTGGTCAGAGTGTCCGTGGGAGCAGACTACGAATTGAACATCCTCGATGCCCAGGCCTTGATTGTCCAACAAAGACCGGAGGTGCTCTCCATCCCAGGCCGTCATAGTGTCCACTATGATGTTGGTGCCATCCCTGCAGCGGACCAGCGTGCAGGTGCAGTTAGCCCTCATGGCGGTCTCGTCTCCATCTTCTTCGTGGGAGTATCCTTCCTGAAGAACGATTACATGATTCCGCTGTCCATGATCAAAAGCTGCCATTTAAATTGTTAGGATAGAAATTAGTTTTACTAGAAGACGTCGGCGAACCTTGTTCTTTGAAGTGTGACCGAAGTTTTCAGAACTCACCGACAATGCATATAGATTGGGCTTACTGTCAAGCCGTTGGGTGTGTTTTGTTGACAAACAAATTGATGCAATTTAAAAAGGACGAAGCCAAAGCTTGGACTAGGCGTCATTTTTTATCTGCACTGACCTCCTGCAGGCGTGTTGTGTTTTGCTTTCCATTTATAATTTTTCGTTCCCACACAGCTTTTGAACGAATACACCGAAAGTTTAAATTTATTGTTCTTTGCGCGGGTGCTAACGGCGTTCATCGGTATTTACTAACGAAATCTGGTATCTTAAAATACCATTTTTTGGTATTTTTAAGAAAGTGGAAGGCCGATATTTTTCATCTGCCCAGAAAAGGTCACACGATTTTGTACATCTGAAGCGCACGCAGGAATTTTCGGAGAAAGAAAAATCATCGCAAATAAAATATTTAACAAATTGTAAGGCCGATAAACAATTGTTCATATATATAAATATTTTCTGGTAGGCTTATTAACTTTTATTCGACCAAAGTGTCTGCGCATACAGCCGCTGTGCCACGAAATTTGGGGCGTGGACGTGAACTAAATCGGCACAAAGCCAATTAACTAGCATCAAACAAAGAAAATCAATACCCAGTGGCCGACGTTGTTGTAATTGCTATAAAAACGCATTTCCTAGCATTTCAGTTGCGAAAATAATTGTAATTACGCATTTGTGAAAAATTGTGAAAATCAAAATGGCGTCATTTTTGTGTGCGTGGCAGGGCGCTGCCAACCTGCTTGAAAAAAGGAAAACTAAGTAGCTTTCACTTTTAACTCGTCTCAAAAGTCAATATGGGTTGTACTGAAAGAAAAGCAGAGACATTCGTGTTATAACCGTCCAAGCAAACGCATGTTTTTAAGGAGGAATTTAAAATTTATAATTTTTTTGTTTTGCATTTTTGGAGAGTGGACAGCGCGCAGGGCTGCACCGCCTTATCGATTACCGATAACCGCGAGCCGCAGCACACACGTCCGCATTTCTCAGTGAAAAAAAGAATCGCAACGCAAACACGTTTTTCTGCTGATCTGCAAAAATATAAAAGACATTTCTGCGAGGGGATTATTGGTTTACTGCCAGTTCTCACAATAAAATAAGAAAGAAATCTCGCATTTTCTGGTGCCTGCGGTTGGAATTTGATTTATCTTCGTTTCGAAAGTGAATTGTAGGGCATTAGCGTAGTTGTATATCGATAAAGACGTTCTCAGACTGGTGTTTTCTGCCATTTTAGATACTTTTGGAAGGCTTGCAAAAGCGAAATCTGATGGAATTACGTAATCAGTGGAAATTTAGTATCCATTAAGTTACGCACACCAACAAAGACGAGCGTCGCTACACGCACGCACGCACCAATACACACACACTCGTCCGCGTATGGTCATACCTGCAAGCGAGGGAGAGAGACGGCAATAGGGCGAACAGCGTTGCCACACCCGTTTCAAACCCCCGCACGACAAACAAAGAAAAATGGTAAGTTTTTAAATCAAAAATATCAAGCGCAGCTCTTTTTAACCAAAGTGCTTTATTTAAAAACGCATTTGAATAGCCTCGCATAGTACCATTGCAATTGCTGAGGTGCCTGCGGGTGCTTTTGGACAACAATGGTGGAATTTTGAGCGCAGCGGAGGTGAAACGCATTTCGGGGTAAGTTCACCACACAACAGCGCCCCCTGCCGGCACTTGCTAATATCTAGTTTTTCCCCACAGTCTGATGGCCAAGTATTCAAAAAAACTCGTTTCAAAATGTGTATATGTACAAATACTAAAATCCACAAAGACGGAGCTATTAGGCGACTTCATGGCCGTGGGCGGTTGGTCACTGGTCTACACCTGGCTGAACGATGCTATTCGGGCGATGAACTGGCCGCTGGTGCAGGAGATCCTGGAGCTGCTTCTTCTTTCGCCCGTGGACGTCAACCGGCTGAAGATAAACTCGGCGCCTATTTTGGTCAAAGGTCTTTGCAAGGATGGCGGCAATGAAGGTAAGTTTCGAGTCCTGCTCTTTCCTTTTCAACCTTGTTTAGTCAGCTTAGTCATGTCGAATCTTGTTTTCGCGCTTTCTTGCTCCTTTTTTTCACTGATTTCATTGCCTGGGGATTACTAATTGCCTTTTTCGACCCCGTTTTCCAGGTGTACGCATTCTGGCCAAACGTTTGGTGGAACAGTGGCTGAAGATCGTGACTGAGAACACTAGCGTGATGGTCCAGCCTGCTGCGCCACAGAATGCAGCCACTTCGGCGCCTCAGGCTGCTGCTCCTGCTGCCTCCGGCCCCGCCGCAGCTACAGTTCCGGACTCTGCCTCCTCTTCGGATAGCACGGACAGTGCCGGCGCACCCGTGACGTATACTATCACCTCGGCGGCCAACAGCAGCAACTCCAACAGCATAACCATTAAGTGGAAGCCGGTGGTAGACAAGCCAGATGGCGAAGACGACGAGACAGACTCCGCAGCAGCCCAAAAAATCAAGAACGAGGAGCAGCAGCAGGAAGATGCCTCTGCCACCCAAGCATTAGCCGATGTCAGTCTGGGGAAAAAGTCCAGTTTAGATGATAGTAGTTCAGCGGCAGAGGTTAAGTCCGGGGAGGACGTTGATAATAAGAAGCATAAGAGCGCCAAAAGCGACAAGAGTAAACGATCCGAGAAGGAGCGCGAGAAGGATAGGAAGAAGGAGAGTTCCTCCAGTCACAGGTCCTCCTCATCTAGCCATAAGTCGTCCTCTTCGTCGTCGTCCTCCTCCTCTTCGAAGAGTAGCTCCTCCAAGGGCTCCTCCTCCTCTTCTTCCTCCTCCCATCGCAGTTCCAGCGATAAGTACCGCGATAAGGACAAGGCTCGCTCTAGTTCCGGTTCCTCCAGTTCGAGCAAGGACCGGGAGCGTAGCAGCGGTTCGTCCTCCTCTTCCTCGAATAAACACAAGTCCTCTAAGGCTTCCTCGTCATCGTCGTCGTCGACCTCTGGTTCTAGTTCGTCCAAAGATCGCAAGGACAAGTCGTCGTCGTCGTCCTCCACTTCGTCAACGTCCTCATCCTCGAAGCAGGAGAAGGACAAAGACAATAAGCTAATGCCTCCGCCAGCAGTGGCACCAGCTAACACTTCCCCATCTGCCACTGCTGCGTCTAAGGAGAGTGAGGCACAGAAGCCCAGATCCATTCCCATCATGTCCAGAAAGGCCTCGATTTCGATAGAGATTCGCCGGGACACGGAAAAGACGGCCACCGTAAAGACGTATCAGTCCAAATTCAGATCGCATGGCCTGACAGAGGAGGCGCCGCCCCCGCCATCGCGCAAGGGTCTGAAAAAGCCCACATCGTCGACTGTTCCCGCCGCACCTGCTCTGTTGGCCATACCGCCGCCACTGAAGCGTCCCTCGCCACCGCCCAGGGACTCTCCCACCGAGAAGAAGGCCAAGATCGACATGAACAACATCGCGGGACATGTGGAGCGGCCTGGAGCCGCCAAGCTGATTGCGCCCAAGAAGAGTAAGCATGCTATTTTGAGAAACCCTACTAATGCTCTCTCCTTTTTACTCTATTCCACAGCCCAGAAGACTGGTGGTTTTTGCTTTTGTGTTCGAACGGAGTCGAATATCTCGACCTCCGCCGTATTATTTGTTGATCTCACTTCTCTCCTCAAGGTGTTTAATTTTGCTTGGGGCGGGTCTTAAATTATAGTGCAGAGTGGGGCTTTCTAAGTGGCTACCTTGCATTTTTATGTATGTATGAATTGTTTGCGATTCGAGTGGTGGTGATACCCCTGGATCGAGATTGAATTGTAAGGTACCCGTGTTTACCCCTGGATGACGACGGATGATGTCGAGCCCCGGAATCTCGGGCACTGCGCATGCGTTGAGACCGAAAACGCAAAGAAATCTGGGGCACACACGATGCCGCCGACGCAGCAGCCGCCGCCGCTTGGTGTTAAGTATCCAAAACTCAAATCTTGAACGTATTTAGCTTAGCTTAGCTATAAGGTATGTAGATTCACTTGGCCTAAGCAGCCCTCCTATAAACTTACCAATAAAAATACGGTTTCCTCTAGAAAAATACGATTTTTCTATTGAATAAAAAAATGCATTGAGCGCAAAAGAAACTAAAACGAAAATATTGACTTGAGCTGGCGGTTCTAGAAGTTTGGAAGGTGGATCACCACCCCGTGGGCATGAATCCCAGCTGCTTCGCTTTGGCCTCAACTTTGCTGTCGTGCGTCACCGAGGGTCGCCACAGTGGTTTTCCTCGTTAGATAAGGGAATCCCCCGTCTACCCACTCCTACATGGAAGTGCACCATCGCGTGGATGCGTCACTTCGGCGGAGAGCTCCCAAGTGCGCGTTATCTGATCGCTGTGTTTATATTTGGTTCCTTTTAAAGATTAGTTTATAGAAAACTGTTCGTTCTTTTATTATTATGACTTAATTTAATATACCAATAAAATTCACATTACAATTTCAAATTAAAGATATTTGTAATCTATAGATTCCACTTCACACTTGCTTTGTAATAATAAAATCCACGCTTTTAAAAGTCTTAATTACTGAAAACTTCGATTAAATGTTTTTTTTTGTTTTAACATTTAAAAAACATTTTCAAATTTCTTTTAGTTGAGATAACTTGAAAAATTCTATATGTGAAAACAATTTTTCCCCGATCTCCAATTAATTTCAATTAAATAACTGCTGTAATAAATATAAGTTGGATTTAACAAAGTTATCTTACACAAACTTTATAAATATAAACCGTACTCAAAAAGTGTAGCTTGGTATCAAACGAAAATCGGTGAACTGAAATAAAAGCTCGTTTTTTGTATATTCTAGGGTTCAATTAGCTTTTCGATGTTTACTCTAGTAAAGACCCCTATTAGTATAGCTATTTTGTGGAATATTTAGTGGGAAGTTAGACCATTGTTAATTTAAGCTCAATTTGTTTACTTTCCCTAATTTCCAGCAAAAGCAAAAACCACCAACTGGGCGACCACTTAAGGAAGAGTATTATAACACCCATATTAACCAATTACTAGAGCAATTACTTATAATTCCCTATTCATTCCAGTTTCAACCCTGGTGGAGACCAATCTGTTCTCGGATGCACTGGCCGCCTCCATCGAGCCCAAGAAGGTGGTGAAGCGCAAGCGCCCGGCGTCTGCGAACTCGCCCACGGACAAGGATGCGCCGCTGGCTCCACTCAAATTTTATCAGGACACTCTAGACGAGTCGAAGGGCGAGGAGAAGTCGGACGACAGCAGCAAGGAGAACGACGATGCTCGCTCCGCCTCACCCGGCAAGGACACAGATGCCGATGACGACGACATCCCTTTGAAGCGGGTCAAGGAGGACATCGAACAGAAGGTGCAAAAGGAGAAGGCAGCGGCCGGTGGAGAAGCCGGCGAAGCGGATAGCACCTCTGAAAACGTCGAGGATGTGCCTGAGGAGCCAAAGAAACCAGGACCCGGCTGCGGACCCGATGGACCGCCTGGTGTGCTAATGCTCCACCGGCGCAAGGGTCCGAAAAAGAAGCTCACCTGGCAGCCGGAGGATAAACTCACCCAGATCCGGTACTTCGAGGTCGATCGATCGGAGCGCGTGAACGTGATGAAGCAGACCTTCCTGGAAATGAAGAACTTGGAACGTTTCAGCGAGCGGGATGCGCTGACGATTGCTCGTCGAGGATTTGATGACACCATGGAGCCGCAAATGGAATGGCGACCTTTGATCGAAGTCGACAACGTGCCCGATCACCCGAATGGAAATCTCTCCAAGCAGCGACAGGTGCAGATGGACAGAGAGGCTACCACGCTGAGGGCTCTGTACTTCTCGCCGGACATGATTCCCGACAGTGCTGCTGAGGCGGAACTGGAACCGCATTTTGCCCATGACATTCCAGTAATACCAATGGATGATCTCACAGGAAATCCGGATGCGGTCAATGACTATAGTACCTTGGCGTGGCCAGAGCCCAAGGGATATGCCCCCAGCTCAGGAGCCACTAATGGCGGATCGGATATGGGCTTCAATGACAACATGATGCCGGGTCTCGGTGCCGGTCCAAATATGATGCAAAATCCTTTCGATCCCTTCATGGGACGTATGCCAGCGCCCGCGGGCATGCCGCCTGCACCCAATCTAATGCCCAACCAGGTGCCCAACGGACCGCCGCAAATCTGGCAGAATCAAATGGGACCGGGAATCGTTCCGCAAGGTGTACCGCCTATGATGAACGGTCCCGGTGGTCCTGGCATGGACATGAACAACATGCCAACGCAGAATTTCATGGGCAATCAGTTTGGCAGTCCAGTGCCACCATTCGGAAATGGCCCACCTGCATTCAATCAGTACCCGCCCATGATGATGAATGGCCCGGGACCAGGACCACCGGGAATGGGACCCAATGGACCCGTGATGGGACCCAATGGACCCGTGATGGGACCAAATGGACCCGTAATGGGACCCAATGGGCCCGTGATGGGACCCAATGGTCCGATGATGAACGGGCCCCCCAATGGGCCCATGATGAACGGTCCACCCAATGGAATGGGCCCTGGACCCATGCAAAACGGCGGAGGACCGAGGAACAACAACAACAGAAACAAAAACAATGGCGGAGGCAACTGGCGCAGCGGTGGGAACAACTTCCAGGACAACTCCGGAGGCAACTGGCGGTCAGCAGGATCTGGCCCCAACCGAGGAGGTGGCGGAGGCGGTGGCAACACCGGCATCTGCAAGCAATTCATGCGGGGCCACTGCAACATGGGCAAGAACTGCAAGTACGTGCATCCGCAGAAAAAGCGGTAGGACTTGCCCGAATCTTCTGCGGAAGATTCAGCTGTATAGATCTCAGACGCACAAAGGAGGAACTGACCACGGAATCAAGTCCCCACACAAAGACTGTAGCCAGGTTAGCCGCTGTTAGTTAGTTAATCTAAGTGTGTATATATGTTTTCGGTATATTTGTGTGTAGAGGCAGCGTATCCCTAAGTTATTTAGTCTAAGATTTCGCTTTAGTCGTACTCTTCCCCACGAGGCAGCATATTGTTGCTGTGTACTTATACTGAAGGCTCTATTCGAATTGTGTATGCCCCTAGCTAACTTCATAATATTCAGATTATTCATACAGTTACGTATTTATAAGTTTATAATTATATAATTAAAGACCAAGTCATATGATGAAAAACCAGTGTAGTTATTACTTAAACGAAAAAGAGGGGAACCGAATTTATTAATACCCTGGCAGAAAGTGTTATATTATTTTGCTGATTTTTGATTACATTTATTCATACATGAATGTATCACATATAGATACATTATTTAAAAAGTTCCTATACAAGCATTAGTGATTTTAATCTGCAACGATATAGATTACTTAGTTTCATAGATGCATACAATATTTTCTAAATCTAAATAATTAGTTAAAATGATACTTAAAATTTTAAAACCACATTAATATTTAAACTCTTTAAAGTCAAAAATTCTGGTTTCAAAACAAGACACTATGTGCCGGGTATAAAAATCGATTTGTTTTCAGGGGGTATGCCATCATCATGCGGTGCTTGCACTTAACCTGGAACTTCTGGGGCTTCCGTTTCCAGGCCCGCGACCCAGAATTCACTGTGTCCACATTCTCTAATTTCCACAATCCGAGTCTTCGTTTCAGTTCTGTTTATTTCATCATCGCGTTAGGACCACCGTAGATCCGAAGACTTCGCAACCATGAAGCTCCTCAGTGTGATAATCCTCTGCAGCTACTTTTTGGCCGTTGTCAGTGGCCTGAGCTTCACGGTGACGTCGCGGATATACATGGATGTGAAGCACAACAAGAAGCCGGTGGGCAGGATTACCTTTGGCCTGTTCGGGAAGCTGGCTCCCAAGACGGTGGCCAATTTCCGGCACATATGTCTGCGCGGCATCAACGGAACCAGCTACGTGGGATCGCGTTTCCATCGCGTGGTGGAACGCTTTCTCGTCCAAGGCGGCGACATTCTCAATGGCGATGGAACTGGCTCCATTAGCATCTACGGAGAGTACTTTCCGGACGAGGACAAGGCTTTGGAAGTGGAGCACAACAGACCGGGCTACTTGGGCATGGCCAATCGCGGTCCGGATACCAATGGCTGCCAGTTCTATGTGACAACCGTGGGCGCCAAGTGGCTGGATGGAAAGCACACTGTTTTTGGCAAGGTGCTGGAAGGAATGGAAACCATCTACGCTATCGAGGATGTGAGTATATTTAAAAGTGTAATTAAATATTAATTCTTTTTTGAGGGTTGAACTTTGAGAAAAATGTATGATGCATTTTTTTATTTGAAATAAAAATTCTTATGTTACATTTTAAATACTGGAAAGTCTGAGATTAAATTGTGGTTGTAAATAGGCTACAACGATACTAATATTTCCTGCATTATATTGATTAATTATTGTTTAAAGCAAATTATAAATTCATTTTGTGCAAAAAAAATAGGAAATACTTATTAAAACATAAGACTTAATAATCCTGTCCTATCCAATAAAAACAAATAGATTGAAAACTTCATAAATTAATAAATTTCTCAGAGCTTGGCCAAAAATATGGTATTTACTTTTCAGAAAATATATTTTTTTACATTTTGAAAATATTTTGTAGTAGACGTAGTCAAAAGTGCTGGAGTATTAATTCTTTACTTGGTATAATCATAGTTTCCTACTAACCATACAAAATGTAAGGTGTGACACCTTTTCTAATTATTGTTTCCATTTCAGGTGAAAACAGACACGGATGACTTCCCCGTGGAGCCAGTGGTGATCTCAAACTGCGGCGAAATTCCCACGGAACAGTTTGAATTCTACCCGGACGACTTCAACATTCTCGGCTGGATCAAAGCGGCTGGTCTGCCCGTGACCAGTTCCTTCTGCGTGCTACTCATCTTCCACTACTTTTTCCGCCAGCTCAATATGTATTGCTGAGGGTTTTCGCTTTTAGCCAAAGTATAAGCTTTATTACTGCACATACGTCTAAGAAGCCCGCCCATCCACTCACTTTAAACAAAAACCCACAATAAATGCATCTAAAATTTCAAGATGTACCTAGGAAACGATGACGCCTTTTAGTAGGACAGGAAGAGTCGGGCCCATGTGCAACTGTGGATTATAAGATGGAATTTAATAGATAGTATCAGTCCCAAGCCCAAATTACTCACATCAATGAACAGGTAGTCCTCCACCAGCTGATCCTTAGCATAGAAACGCGACTCTGGCTTAAAGAATCCGACCATGGTCACGTCCACTCCGGAATAGTTGGACAGGCAGCCCGAGAAGATCTTGGCCAGGGTGAAATGGTGCTTGTGATCCGGGTAGACGGAGGGATTCAGGCTGTTGTAGTACTCCTCGATCAGACGTCGGTCCTTCGGCGCTAGATCTCGCTGGTGCTTCACCATCTTGTCCAGGTCGAAGGAGTGGGCGTGCTTCAGCTTGGGATCCTGCTCCGCGTCCAGCAGGCGTTCAAGTATATTCCTGTACTTTTCCTTGAAGTACTCCAGTGCCGTGCACTTCTCAGCCCAGAAGGAGAATTTTTTATCGGCACTAAGGGATAGGTATATTTGTGATTATATTTACCACTTTTCACTTTATTTATAGATACTAACATATTTCTATTAAATAAGATATTTAAGTTTAAAATATTGATGTCTCAAATAAATATTTAAATTAACAAGGTAGATAAATTCATCCTCTAGAGGTGTGTAGGTACAACTAAAAAAAAGTATTACTATTAAAGGAGACACAATTCAGAAAACGAAACTAGAAAATGGAAATAGTTTATAAGTGAGTACTTAAAGCGGAATAGTAAATAAATATACTAATATAATGTATAGATTTTTTTATAACTTGCAGAATTTTTATAGTTTTACTGCTTTATGTGGCAACTATCCCATCAAATACATACTGCTTGGCATCCGTGACGTTAAAGTCCACATACAGGCCCGGAATCCTAACTGCCGTGCGTGCTGCTGCGATGAGTTTCCCGGGTCCGAAGAAGTGCAGCTTCAGCTGGAACCGTCGCACGGTGTTCCTGTTCAAGGAACCCAAGTCCAGGACGTAGCAGTGCTGCTCGCAGGGAACGGGTTGAACTGTGAAGTGCTTGACCATCGCCGGCTGCTTGAGGCCTGGAGCTTTGTGCATCTTTTGGTAGGTGTGATAGACCTGCTGATGCAACGCATACAGCTCGGGCTTCAACCGGAGCCGCTTTAAATACCTCTCCGCCAGGATCAGTTGTCTCAAGACAGTGGCGTGCGGCAGCTCCTGGTTGTTATTCACCATCACGTAGGTGTGAACCATACGGAAGAGTTGCAGGTCGTGAAGGTCCTTCCGATCGGAGGACATTTCAGATTCGGTGGAAGACAGCAAGGAAAAGTCCTCGCTTACGGAGACTTTGTCCTCCACTTGGTTCTCCTCCTCGCCTGCAGCAGGTTTTGGCTCTTCATCCACCTCTGTGATGGAGCGGAAGATCTCGTAGTGGTAAATCTTCTGCAGCATCCGGTACTCCTCCTCCACCTCCAGAGGATCCAAAGGAGTCATGGGCAGTGGAGATGCCATGTCCAGCATGGGCATTACGCCCTGTCCCCGCAGGCAAAAATAGTTGGAGTCACTGTTGTTGATCATCGCTCCAAAGGAGTGCTTAAAACTCTCGCTGAATCCGAGGATGCCCTTCACCCGGATCTGATCCGCTCCAAGTGGCCCCAGGCTCAGCATATCGCTGGTCGTCATTTTGCAGTAGCCATCCACCAAACGCTTTTCGTGTTGTTGCGCCTTGGAAGACTTTGGAGGCGGGGTCTTCACCTCGACAACAACCAGCTGGAGCGGATACTTGGTCACGTTGGTGACACGCACTGTCGTATCAAAGGACTCGTACCAGGGCTAAAAGATATTAAGAGCGATGATAGATATGATTATTTGAGACCAGCATTGGGAAAATTTTATTTATTTTATTTTATAATCTATCATAGTTCAAAAATTATAGAAATGTTTTTGAAAATTTGATTTGTAATATTTGGATATTGTTGTCCAGAAGAGTAGTACTAGACTAGTAGAACCTTTTAATGGTATTAAATATGAAATATTTTGTACTGCAGTGCCATATTTAGATGGAATTTCTCTTTTTGAAGACTTTCCTAAATTCAATTGCAGAATAATTTAATATTACAAAATATTTTACAATAAAATAAACTGTTTCTGTTATTTTGAAGATTATTGGAAATTGTTTTTGTTGACGAATAGGAATTCTAGAAATATCATTGATGCACTAAAGAATTCGCGACTAAAAAAGTTATAATTATAGGTAATTCTGGTGTTATTTATATTATTACTTATTGCAATACTCATCATGTACCTACCTTGATTCCCATGTAGATGCTGTCCTTGTGAAACTTGATCTTGTGCGGCAGATTGACCAGCGTGACGGTGAACCGCTGGCTTCGTCCGCCCAGGAGGGTCAACTCAAAGATGGACCGCATCTCGTGGCTCCGCCGGATGTGCGGCAGGTGGAGCTTGCACTCCAGATCCGCGTCCTCCACGATGCCCCGCTTCTCGTAGAAGTAGATGTACCGACTGGCGAAGCAGTATTCCGAGGAGGCCTCAGACCACTGGTCGCTGGAGTCGAGGTGCAGGCGATTGAGGATGTCCGAGATGGTTTCCCGCACCACGCTCGACGAGCTCTGATCCCTGTCCTCCTCATCTTCAGGAGGCTCCTTTGGCGGGAAGAGCAACGGCCGGTGCCTTAAATCCATGTCGTTTATGACCTCGTCTAGGATCTCCAGAATGAAGTCGCCATTCTCCTCGAAACGACGAAACTGGCAGCGGCACTCTTGGTATCTCTTGGTCATATTTGGCTGATCCTCGCAGCTGAAGTCGTACTCCAGCATGCGCAGAATCTCGGACAGGATGTCCGCTGCAATGCCATCCGGATCATCCTCGTCGCCAATAAAGATCTCAGTGGTACCCAGCCGCCTCCACTTGAACTCGGCTGGCATGCACCCCTGGTTGACCAGGTTGATGCTACTGTCGTAAGGCTTGCCGCGATCGAAGAGGACCAATTCTGGCTGGAGGATCACTACGTCCGGCACCATTATGGCCACCCGGAGTGGCAATGACTTCAGTTGCCTGCCCATAGCCATCACATTGATTCGTCCCTCGATTTGACGACAGAGGAGCGGCTTCAGAGCTCCTCTGTTGAGGATCACAAATATCTCCTTTCGCTCCGCACCACCCAAACTGATCCGAATCTCTTTTTCGTAGGTGTGCTCGTAGAACTCCTTGATCCTGAAGGGACCCGTCACCTGGAGCGTAACCTCGTGGATGGGCGGCGAACAGGGATTCACCAGCAGTGGCGTCTCCACATAGGATCGCTCTTTAAGGGGCTCACAGCTCTTATAGTTGAAGTTTAGCTGTAAGAATTAAGTGATTTATCAATTAATAGTTGGTATGTATAATATTTAAAAAGTGGATTCGTTTCAATAAATTGTAAGTCCTGACCAGAATTTTTAAAAAATGGTGGATGTTTTGAAACATTAAAATATTTTTGATATATTTGAAAAAAAAATATTTAAAATTGAATGTTGGCTCTGCATTCATTCTTAAAATTTTAGAGACAGTTTTACTTATATCTATGCCTATGTATATAATAAAGGCAACATCCTGTTCCACATAAAATTTAATTTGTACACATATTAAATACATTTAAATGTTTGTGAAACCCCCAAATTATTTAAAATATAAATATACAATACACTCACCTGCTTGGGAATCCAAATCAGCTGACAGTCCACGAACTCTGCAGAGGCCCTGATCCTTATGATGTGCTTGCGCTGTGGGTACTTTTGATCAATGACCTGCAGCAGGAAGTCGCCGGTGGCGTGACCCTCCGCATAGGAGCTGGCCATGATCTCCAGCCGACTTTCGTAACTGGGTGACATGTAGAGGCTCTTCGGTTCCAGGTCGAAGCGGGAGGTCAAGGCGTTGGTGGCGCATCCCGATGTGACATTGGCCCCTGGTCCATAGGTATTCAACCGGATGATGAGGATGCGGTAGGCGCGACGTCCCTTGTTGATCACCCGGATGGGAAAACGGTGCTGATAGAAGCCCTCCTGGAACTGCTCCTTGGTATCGGTGTACAGCAATCCTGCATCGAAACCTTTCCGGATATCGGGCTCAAAATACAGTGGCACCCCCTCCACCAGAAAGGTTATCGGGATCATCATCACATTGTCGAACTGGAGGTCGATATACAGGGTATTCTGGTACAGATCGGGATCCGTAAACAGCGACACCAGGGTGGTGTACATGCTCTGACCCGAGGATGACAAGGCTCCACCTCTCAATGTCAGATACTGGTATTCTATATCTTTCTAACAGGAAGATTAAAAAGGAAGTCATTAAAATAGAGTCAATAGAGTTTATGAAAAACTGCATAGGCTTACCAGTCTCATACTGAGCTTGGTGTGCGTGGGCGTATAGTTGTCGATATAAAAGTGTACCACGCTCTTTTCGTAGACCTGTAGACGCTGGTGAACGTACATCGGCGTTACCCGGATCTCTGTGGGCAGAACGTTGGCGAACAGGTGGAAGGCGTATGGCCGGTTGGCGCCCACGATCTTCACCAGCCCCGATAGTCGGGTGCTGCCCAGGGAGCGGAAGGTCACCGCGCACTTGGCAGTTATTTCAGATCCGCCGTCTATAAAGAATTTCCAGGTGCCATCGCGAAAGGTCATGTCGGTGGGCTGTTTTGAAATAATAGATGTTATGTATAATCCGGCTCGAAGGACCAACTTTAATATTTTTTGATGATTTTCTTTGTGCTTTTCGGGTACTCACAATGACGTCGTAGTGAAGAAAGGCACCTATAATAGATCGGTTGGAGAAGGTCATCTCAAAGTTGTAGTCCTCGCCAGCGTAAATGGTACGATGTGAGAGGTCCACCAAGTTAGACCATAAGATCTCGGGGACAACGCAGTTGTACTCAAACCAAAGCTTGGAGCAGAGAAACTCCGACTTGATAAGTGTTTTCATAATGGGGTGATCTTCGCTGGATTCCAAAGAAGTCGCCACGGCGGGACAAATTCGCACAGACAGGGATCGATGAAAGTAGCCCACCTTGTTGGGCACCAAAAGGATGGTGATGCTGCGACCGGTATTTGGACGAAGATAGATAATCTCGTTGTCACAGAACACTTCCCTTGGATCACTTGGCAGAGCGTTCCAGTCCATGAATATGTAGTTATTATGCTTGGTGAATACGGAAAAGTACTTGGTGTTGAGCAGACCCATTAGAGCCTCCTGGATCACACGACGATCCGTCTCCGACTTGTCAAAGATCTTCTGTTTTTTCAGGTTGGTCAGCAGATGTGCGGCCATCTGCGGAATGGGTTCTATGAAAGAAGTAGGGAAAATATTATATGATTCCAGTTATAAAGCTCACCCATAACTTCCTCTTCAAACTCCAAGCTGTAGACGGACTCGCTCACCCTGACGGACTTCATGGACAAAATTTCCGACTCGGTTGTTGTGAGGCGAATTTCCCTGTGCTCCTCCGGCTCCTGGTTCTGCAGATCTTCGTGCACTTGCTGCAGATGCCGTATGGGGTCCCTCACTGTGATGGGGAGCATCTCCGTGGAGCTGCGTATATTGAGTACCAGTGGTGTTTCCTCACCATCTTCAGTGGGTTTCACCTGGAGCGTAATGGGCACAGCCAGGGGATTCATGAGCAGCATGTACCGTTTTTGGGGCACGGCAATCGGAACGCTCCCGAACTCCACCAGTTGCGGGAAGGTGCGCAGCTGGACCGGCTGTCCTGTGCCCCTGGAGATGATCGGTGTTATTAGAGCTCAGTTATTGGAGAGCACCCATCCAGGTACTTACTTTATCAGTACTTTGTAGTGGGCCCCGTTATCCACCTTGAAGCGAACTGTGTTCTGGAAACGGGAGGGAAACAAGGAGTAAAAGGACACGTTGAAGATGCCACGGGTGCAAGGCTCCAGCAGGAAGCCCTCTGCAGGAGTCACGCGAATTCCGCATACTTCCGGTTCGGAGCAATCCTTGTAAACCACTTTGGCATGCACATCTATAGAAAAAAAATGTTTTAAGCGGTATAAGTTTTGTTAAATAGAAATTTACCCTTGGTAACCTCGTTAGTATCCCAAGTGATAAAAAAAGTTTTTTTTGATAAACAACTATTATCTATAAATCTTTAAAGCTTCCTTACCATCAACATTGAGAACTTTGATCTGGGCGCAGTGCTCTTCGCCCAGGTAGATCTTTCTGAAGTCGATCACCTTCGGATGGAACTCCATGTCGATGCCACCGATTAACCCAGACAGGATAACATTGTGCGATTCGATGCAATCCTCGGCGTCGCTGAAGCAAAAAGTGATCTTAGTGCGCTGGAAGTACGGTGGCTCCACGTCGTCCGGAAACGGATTATCGGCATCATAGCTCGGCCGGAAGACCAACTTGATCTCCGTCGAAACCCCCGCCGAGATCCTGTTTGGCACGACGGAGTCAAAGTGCTTGACTGCCTCCGCATCAATCCTGACATCCTGGACACTAGTACGCTCCTCAAAGTCGTAGAGGAGTACGCTGTGCATGCTGACGGCTTCGTCGATCAGTTTGTTGGAGAGCGTCTCCTCCTTATCGAAGCTGTCGCTATCCTCTTGATTTACCGCTACAGGCGGCTCCGTATAAAACTGACCAGATATTTGGACCTCGTGCTGACTCTCGTTGCACACGGTCACCAAACGCTCTTCCTCGCGCGAGAACTTGGTCATCCCAAAGACCACACTCCCCATATTAAGATGAACCGCCATCGACTTGGGCGTGAAGACAAACATCACCGGTTTGGGAGGCACTGCGGATGGGATGGGTATCATAATTTAACCGGCGGTTAAAGAACGGATACTTACACACTCCAAACTTAACGTTGAAAAAACCCCTGTAGACGTTTAGCTTCTTTGGCTGGATAACTAGCAAAAGCTTTGCATAATCCTTCGGCGGAAGGATATCCTTATTGTTGTCAATGATCTCCAGGCCTCGATTGGTGCTGGGGAGGGAGTATTATTAAGTACTTGTAGAAATCAGATTATGCATTTTTTTTTTTGGAACTAAGGAAGCAATATTACAAATACTTTTGAGCAAAATTTTGCAAACTTGGTCCTTCGAGTCGGATGTGAATGATTTGGTAAAAGCTTCACTGAATGCTAGTTCATATTCGACTGAGAATTTTCTTTGGTTTTGGAATCTCTATCTTAGAGACTGTTTTAGAGCATATCTCACTTTCTGTAACGCACTCGAACGCGATCTTTGGTGGGGTTGTAGATGATCATCTCGTAATGGGTCTTGTTTCCAGGCACACAGCTGGGGAAGGTGATTGTGTCGCTGATAGAGGGATACTTCAACTTGTCCAGAACTGCAGGGAAGAACCATTAGAACAATGGATGAAATCTGGCCGGAAGCGTATACCAACTATGGGCACTTGGAAGATGATGTTAGGGTGAAAGCACTCAACCAAAATGTGGCGTCGTCGATTGATGTCTCTTTTGGAGGTCGTCCGTATCCAGATCTTAACCTCCAGAGACTCATCGGTGTCCAAGTAGCGATGTAGGTCCAGTTCCGCTATGGAAATTGAAGTGTCTTCGGGACTATCGGTGGTTATATTGAGCAAGCGGGGGTACTTCGGAAAAATATAAGTTTTAGTGTAAAATGGTTATAATCACTTTTATATAAGAATATAGCTGAATTAAAAAATATATTTTTATACAGTAACAAGATCTTAATACAGATCAGAAAATTTGCTTTACAAGTTAACTTTTTTTGTTAATTTAGTTATAATTATAAATTCTTGTAGGTAAAATTAAATTTAATTGCTTTTGTGTACTTACCAGTCCAGTGTTTTTAATGTTGAGCGACAGCCCATACGTGTTGTTGACCTTGAAGCACTTGTGGTGGATCATCATTCGCGGCGTGATGTGCAGCGAATCCACCATGTTGGAATACTCACTGTAGTCTACGAGATAGGAGACACCTCAAATACCCTGCAGTAATAGATACCCTATAATCTTACATTCCCTGGCGATGCAACATTGAAATTGGCGCCTCGCCTTGCTATTGCGTGTTGGCGGTTTTAAAACTTGATCCTTGCAGTTTATCCCAATCTTAGCCTCTGTTCCCGAGGGCATTCTCGAATTCTGCTCCGATTGAGACATTCTGGCTTGTGTTCCCTAAATTCCGAAAGCTAAATAAAATATAGTTTATAGATTCAATTGAATTTGATACAAATTCAAAAGCCAGTGCTCACCACAGTCTGAGTACGATGTTTTTCCAACAAGGTGGCAACATTTCGGTTCAATTCACCACAGGGGCGGTTTTATATTTGAATATTTGAAAAGGTTGATGTTTTAATTAAGTGGAAATGTGGTTTGTCTACAATTCACTGTGTTTTGTGTATGTATTGTTTTATATTTGTATATAATATCTACCTCCCAATCAGTGGTTCGTTTCTTTTACTTGCTTTCCAAGAGCCGTTGTTTTGGCAAAACAATTTCAATTTGGCAAAGGCCAACACAGCATGAGCACCACAAAATGTCGAACGTGTTGCAGCCTCTTCTTTTTGCTTGACCTCAACCACAGTTTCATCGAAAAACCCATTTACACAGTGAGAACATTAAATTGTGGGATTAGAACAACAAGAAAATTAAATGACTTCAAATAAATGATATATATAATTTGATGTTATTTTTTTAAAGCTAAAAAAAAAATTTTCTAGTATTGCTGCTCCTAAAATATAAAAAATAACTATATTTTTGAAACCTTTTAAATGATATAAATTGATAAAGAAAATTATCATATTTTAAATTTTACGTATCGTGATCAATTTAAAACTAATGATAAAACGATTTAAAATAAGTCAAAAATCGTATAATTTTTAAATTTAATAGTAACTAATAATAATAGAAATTTGAATTCTGTGTTCAAATGAAAAAATATGATATAATATTTTTTACCGTGCATAACCGAAGCAATCCCAACCGCAGAAGCTGCCAATGCACAACAAAGTCCGGCTGCTTGCCTTATTTATTTGCTGGTTCGTTCGAAGGCTGCTGCTCCTGCTCCTGCTGCCGTCTCCCCAATTCTGCACTTGGCAAAAGGACATTTCGTCCTTTTGTGCAAAATTAATGATATGGGCGAGTGTAGGAAAGGGCATTTGTGCGGTTGCGATGGCCTCCGCCATCCTATTGCCATTTTTATTGTCAACGGGGCCGCCCCGAAACTTGAGATAAAAATTTGCCGGAAAGCCAAGCGACCGCAAAACCGTACAAAGAAAATTGAAAGAAGGTCCAGTGGATGTGGCTGTGGATGTGGATGTGAACGTGGAATTTGCATGTGAGTTCCTCTGCATCCTATCCAATCCTCTCGGCCATTGTTTGCTGGCCCAGCCCACTTGTGTTATCGCCGGCAAAGCGCTTATAAATCACGGCACTTCACATGCAAGGATCCACGGACCTCGGAGTTTGGACATGGTCCTTGGACACACAGAAGATAACACATGACCAGCTGGATGGCCGAAAATTGCAGCATCCTTCAGTGGATTGGCAGGTCCGGACACCGGAAAAAAATAGAGAGCTACATTTCATATATTTACACAAGCACTCGTATTAGTTCTACCATTTAAAAATGTTAACTTGAAAGTGAGTAAGACAATTGATATGCAATTCGGCAAAAGAAGTATAATTTTACATTCTTCTTTTTATCAGTGTAGATCATTCCCGGGACATGTTACTTTGATGGAAAACAATTGCCAGGACCCACTGGCAGGACATCGCTCTCATCATGGTTGATTTGGCGCTTTTATTGAGTACAAATTGGATGCCATAATGATGACAAAGAACCAACGCCAACGCAGCTTTAAGTGCTCCCTGCTTTCCGTGGATGGCATTTTTATGACATCCAATCCGAGGTCTGCGACTGATTGCCCCACTGCATCCCCGCTGACCAGGAGGGCCCAAGGATCTGGCCACCTCAAGGATGTGGGGCCGTGGGAAAAGGGTTTTTATTTGTCCGGCTTATGTGCTCCTTACGACTGTAAAGTGGCAATTCTTTAACAATTTATGTTGCCAAACCAAAGTCGAGTGTGTGCTGCAAATGGGAAATGGGTATGGTGGGTGAGTGGGTTTTCTGGCGAAGGGCTGCAACAGCTGACGCCACCCCCCTCCCCCTCTCAAACCCAGCGCCCCTTCAAAGACCCCTGCCCATGTCGACGGTTTTTATTTTGTTGGTCCGTCGGCGGCTGTGAAATTTTCGTGAATTTATGAGCACTTGAGAGCAGGCGCCATCGCCAAAGGCAGCCCTATTCCCCCGCCCCCCTCTGTCCTTTCTCGCAGGGCGACTTTGTTGGCCTAATATAAATTTCAGCTTGAGCAACAACAGCTACAGTTTAAAAATATTTTTTAGAGTCTTTATCTCAATAATTATACCCATAAATAAAAATTCTACAAATAAGATAAACCAAACCATGCAGAAAAGACCTTGTTCTTTAAGAAAACTTTTAATGTAATAACAAAAAAATTAAATTAGATAACATTTTTATATTCCTGGCTTATATTTATTTTCTTATCTCTACATTCTTTCCTCTTGCGCAAAAAAAATGTATAAAAATTTAAAATAAATTTGCCTTGATTGTCAAGTTCGGGAAGCACAAGCACATCTAAAACCTAACCAAATTATTAATAAAAGTAAATACATTTTTTTAAATATTTAAAATCTTTTTTTGAGTGCATTGGGGATTGGTGCCCATGGAGTGGGATGCTCGGGCAACATTTTAATGCGCCACGCGGTATTTTTTGGGTTTTTTCTCGCCTCATTCCTAAGTGGCAGCAAACGGGGCAATAAAATGGTCGCCGAATGTTATGAAAGGATTGCGGCAAGTGCGAGGGCTCGTAAATCGTAGGCCAGTAGCCCTTATAAAAATTAGTTTACGTGGCACATAATTTTGCATTAATTCCGCCTTGGAATGGCCCCACTTCGGGAAGAGGAGCGTGTGACCAGGGCATCGAGGATATTATTATGGCTTGCCAAAAAGAGCACTTTGCCACATTTTAAAGTGTCTGTCACATAAAGTGCTCACTGGGGGAAAAGCAGGGAAAACGAGAAAACAAAATGCAACAAAATATTTTGTTATGCTGCACACAGAAAAAACAACACGGGTTCGGAGCAGCAGGCAAACAAAAACAGAAACAAGAGGAAAAACAAATGCTTATAAAATGATAAGTTGCAGCTGGATGAGGACGTGAAGTCAAGTGAAATGCAGGAGCAGCAAGGACATCCTCTGGAGTCGAAGGCGGAGGAGGAGGGGGTTGGCAAAGGACCTGCCATCGACGATGTGTTGCGGAAATATTTTGTGTGAAATTATTGCGGCCAGAACGAAGACAAGACGGCAGGAGCAGACGGAAAAGGATACTCGGCTCGCAGGATACCCTCAAAATAAATAAACACTGCAAAACTGAGCCAAACAAAAAAATATGTTAGTTTCTCAGCATAATTTTATAGGCATGTTTACCATAAAAATGTGAGAGTACTATATTTATACTACAAACAATTGTATAAAAAGCATTGGTTGAAAAATGATAGAGAATAACTAGAAAGAAATAGACTGGTTTATTTAAGTAAGTTCTTTTTTGTGTTTGGAAATTAATCTTAATAAATAAAGAACTACATGGATAAAATATATTTTTAGCCATACGAAAATTAAAGCAAGTTTTTAAATTGGGCTAAAAATACTACTTAAAATAATGAAATATTTTGAATTATTAATTTGGGTGAAAACCTGAGAAAATAGCCACCAATCCTGTCAAGCTCACTGATGGGAGACCGATTGCCTTGCCACAGCTCATTTACAAACCAATTTGCATCGCTTATCGGCAGCATGGGAGCGGTGGCGTATGCGCAATATTTGTGACATGGCCCGACGCCATCTAGCGGCCAACCGCAGCAGCAGCTAATTAGTGTGACAAATTGCTTAGTCAGGGGACCGAGGATGCGGGCGAAAGCCACATCCCTGGTGGCCACTGGCCACATCCTGCTCTGCCAGTCAGTCAGTTGATGTCGACGTCGATGGTCGATGCAGAATGAAAACTCATTAAAAATTTACAATTGATTGACTCGCACAATGTTCAAATGGGCGGGCATTTCCTGTGCCGAATGCCGAAATTTTGACAGTTCTCGTTCATTTCGGTCTGCAGTGGCCAGGGCTAAATGATGCACACAAACGCATCGAGTATCGAATGGCATATGGTCTCCCTTCAACTGGAGCAATTTATGCTAATGCTCGTTAGTGAAATCAAACAGCAACAGAGCAACAATTGTGTAAACAACAGGGCCGTAAAGCAAACTACTCGCACTACGTGCTAGGGCGACTGCAACTGCAACTGCATCTGTCGGATGCACAAAATATTGACGCATATATTGGCAGTGACAATTAATCTGCTAATTGCCAATTTAAGCACGTAAACCAAACACAGGCGGTGGCATCGACATGACCAGGGCGTGGCTACCGCATAGCCAGTGACAGATAGAGGCTATACACGGGAAATAATCGGGTGTTATTAGGTATATAATAGGGTTTTTTTTTAAATAATAGAAAGAATAACTATGTTGTCAAGCGGAACTCATACCACTTCTTTAAAACAGGCAGTAAACTGATCACTGTTCTCCACCAAAGCATTTGTTTGGAGCTGATAAAAGTCACTTGGAGCCATATCATTTCTTAGCATCAATATACTTATCAGTAAGAATATGTAGTACAAGTTTGGACTTTGTAGCTTTAATGGATTGGGCTCTGACTTGATACCCTCCATTTTAATGACAGTTTTATATACATAAAGGAAGAAGAGCATAAGCTGTGCAAGGGTGAGGTAAATTTTATAAAATTTTATCCGAAAGGATCAGAAACAATAAACCAGGCCATACAGATCCTATAAAATCAAATGAAAGTAGACAGAATTTGAAACTGGTACAGATAGTGTTCCATAGAGTTACTTACAAAGTATTTAAATGATAATATTATGGATTATACACTGACGAATATTATTGCATTGGAGGATATAGCACATTTAAATGGCTTTAATCTCTCGGTGTACAGATAGGTAACAGGAACAGCCAATGGACCGTGTCGGGGTCACCGTTTATGGGCTGCCAGTGGGTCGAAAACGGAGGCTGCGGACTGCAAC